GATTTTGCTATACATAGATTAGATAAGGAATACCTGACTGATAAGGTAATATTTGAGTTAGAGGCCTGAGAAAAGTGAGGGAACAGTAAGACCTGTAGATATTGACATAAACAATGCAAAAGTGTAAATTAAACTGATTGTTGGGACCAAAGGACAGATGATGGAGACCTAGACTAAGTAGAAGTCAGGAGTCATGGTCAGATTGTGATTGGAATTCAAAAGTGAGGCCAAGGGGATTTGTCAGTGGATTGGATGTTGGGAGTAAGAGAGATGAGTCATGGGTGACTATAATATTGCAGGCTTAAGCAATTAATAAATGGGCAGGTGATTTACTAATGGGAGGATGAGAATAAAATGAAGACAATTCTTTGAAGTAGCAGAAAGAAATGGAATAGTTGGAAGGATATGTGGGATAAAGAGAAAGTTAAAGATGGGAACTATTACAACTTGTAAATCAGAAAACACTTATATAATTACATATTGTTTTTGTGATTAATCCTATGGCTTTAATTATGTTCAATTTGTAACAATGAAAACACATCCTGCATATCAGGTATTTACATTACGATTCAAAACAGTAGCAAAACTGCAGTAATGAAGTAGCAACGAAAATAATTTTATGGTTGGGGGTCACCACAAGAGGAACTGTATTAAAGGGTCGTGGCTTTAGGAAGGTTGAGAACCACTGAGATAGAGGTTCTTCTATGATCATCTTGGTATAGGCTTTTGGATATAACTCCCTGATTAACAATCAAACAAATAGAATAGCCTGGTGATTCCACCTATTCAAAAGGAACTTTGTATCCTATGAGTTTTATTCCAATACACTGAATTAATTTATGTTTGTTCTTGACCACTCTTAAAATTAATAGTTACTTCTCTCTATTCTCCATTATAAGCACTGGGTAATGGAATCATCTGCCTATTCTCAAATGTGTTCCTTTTTAAAGATTATTTTTATACCTGACAGCATTCATTGTACTTCATTTGTGTGTTTAATCTACCTTATAGCTTCTTGTTTTGGATTCTTGTGTATTAATTATAACATTTTATTCACTGGATATTTTATAAGCCCTATCTTATTTAATGGTAATTGTATAAGGCTAAAATAAAGTAGTTATTTTAGTAGTTATAAAGGGAAAAGTGTTCTCAAAGTATTAGAGCACTGTAAAAGTTATTTTTTTTCTCTCCATCTTTATCTTCGGATTTCTGATATAGTTCATTTGTTTTCAGTTACATTGAAACCACAAATTAGTATTTGACTTTTTTTATTGAAAAATTGAAGACTGAAAAGCAAAGTAAGGTTGACCCTTGAACAAACGGGTTTGAACTGCATGGGTCCACTGAAATATGGATTATTTTATTTATTTTTTTTAAAGAAATACCTGTACTGTTTTTGATCCGAAATTGGGAGTTTGTGGATGCTGAGGGTTGACTGTATGCATTGATCTATGCTGTTTTACATAGTTAGGAAACTTGAGCATCTCGGATTTTGGTATCGGGGGGGGGGGGGGGGG